AAAAAATCACATGGTGTCCCGAATGTGAGTTATAAGGGAAAGAAGGAACAGAGAAAGCTAAAAACAATGGAAAGAAGAAAAATCCACAATTGCTTTATCTTACTAGTTTTCGAAACAAGTCCATAATATCAATAGTTTAGAGAAGCAAACATTTTAGGATGATATCAGTGTGCATGGTGCTCATTATCAACTTTCTGGAAACATCCTTTACATTTTTTATGAGGGACAACATCGATGTTTAAAAGCTTTGTTTAATATTAATGGATATTATATGGCTATTGGACAAGTCGCAAAGTGTTATATTGTATATCCTAGTCATGCAAGTAATAAAGTGCTGTCTCATTCATACATGAAAGCCAATATGATCTGTCCTCATATATTGTTGTGTGCAGGGGTGTAAAGGTGATACAAATTTCAGTCCTAAACAGGCTTTACATTGTCTCATACCATAAACCGAGGTGTTCTGTTTTTCTAAACTATGCCTTAGCTGCTGGACTGAAATGCATTTTGGGGGAGGTTCTACGCCAAAAAAATATAATATCACACTTATGAGCTACCGTTTTGTGCATTTTTCTGATATAATTTGTTATATCCCATGTTCTCGATTTCAAACCCCTTTCTGGGTTACCGTCTTTGTTTCAAAGTTTCTTCTTCATAATTGTCATTTTTTGATGTCCTCTTTTAATGAACTTCATTTGGTATTGGTCAGTGTCTCTTCAGCCATGAATAGTAGTGATTGATGATATAAATTAACTACCATTTTCAGGAAATTGCTGGTGATGAATTAGTGAAAGTGCTACAAATTAAGGAGAAAATACCAAGAAGAAAGGCACTGTCATCATTGGAGGAGGAAGTTTTGAGTATTCTTTCTGAGACAGGTTATGTCAGCAAGGACGAAGTTTCTGAAACAACACCAGACTTGTTTGAGGATGAAGACGAGGATGAGGAAGTGGTTTTGGATGGCGAAATTGATGAAGGTGATGTTCACATAAAGCCGGTTTCACGGAAATCCGCCCACCTGGTAAAATTTAGTTCCTTGGGATCTAAATTACATGCAACTTTGTGTGTGTGTCTATTGTTTATTAAAATGTGATTCTGGTTTGATGCAAGTTTGTATCCCCTATTAACTGGAAATGGATCAGCAAGGTTCCCATTTTCTACTTATATTTTGAATCTGAGATAATCTAAGTAAAATAAGTATTTTATCCTTTTTCTTGTGATATATAGACGCTTCATTTGGTTGATATCGCTTTAAACAAGATTATTTATCATCCTTTACTTTTAGGGGAACTATAAAATGTGACTAGGTACAATATATATTTGTTTATGCGGCCTTTTGTGATTGCCAACAGCGTTAGAGAGAAATCAAGGCAACTGCCTCTCTCTTCTTTTTTTTTTTTGCTATTGAACTGCCTCTCTCTTCACAAACATATATGTGTGTAATTAATACTAAAAAACTAATAGACCCTTTAGGGCATACACTTATTCCAATAGTGCCACCTAGACTATGTACTTTAACGAGTGTTATGTATCCTTTTTTGTGTGGACATTTGTAAAGCCGAGGTTTAAAGGATCCAAGGTTTGGATTTGAGACTTGTGCGGCATACTATAAAAAGCCACATGAGGCAATTAGGGCTGCACCTTTTTGTCTCTGATCTTGAGAAGAACAGAAGCTGCCTTTGCTGTATTTTTTCCAAGCCATATAATGGCTTGTTTCTTCTCTAATGTTTGTCCCTTTTCTTACTTTCTTTGTTGGTTGTTGAGCTACCCTTGCTAATTTGTTACCGAGCTTGGAACAAAGGGCTGCAAAGTTCCATCTTTTTGTACTAGTCTGCATCAGAATGTCAGTGACATACCGTTAATTGAGATGCAGACCATCTTCATAAAGATGCTTCTTAGATAAATTACTCAATTACAAATCAGATTCTTGGCAATAGACTAGTGGACTACCCTCTTGGTGAACTCATGAATTTGTGCTTCCTTCCAATACCAGCAATACAAGACTGCCAAAATATCGTCCAGATTGATTATAAAGAAATTTCTTTGGTACTCCAAACCCACTGGCTGCATCACGGGATGATAATGGCCTATCCTGATCCGAAACGTGATGTTGGAGGCTAAGGCTTCCTTTATTTAACCCCCACTGCTTTCCTATTTTGTTCTGAATTTTCTTCCTGATTCCCCTTTGATAGACTAGAATTCTTTTATCATGTCCTGTCCCAGGTTGCTTCAAATTTCTGGGACCCCATCCCCCTTTCCTCCGTTCTACCTTACATTTATATTGTCAATGGAAAACGTGGAAATACATTTACCAGCTGCCATTATCCTTTATTGTTGTTAGTAATAAAATTCTGGTTCTTATCTAAAGAACAATTACCAATTGCCATTACGCTAACCACTTTGGCAAAAACAAATGCTTGATTGGATATATCTTCCACTAGCCATTGCCTGATCAGAGAAGACATACCCTTGTCTATAACCAAGACTGGCACTCACTCCGCGGTTTTGGTAAAATAAAAGTGTCCTTCCTCTCGTGTCATAATGTTCTTAGTTTGATGAGTTTTGACATGTTTGGAATGGGTTGCCATTTCAAAGTCTCGGTTGTGCTTGCTTTAAAGTTTGGTACTCGTAATTTTAGAGTTTGAGACTCTTGTTCTTGCTAGGCAAAAGTTGGGACTATGGTCGTGATTTGACATCGGAATTCTCTACAATTCCCGCATTGGACAGCTGGATGAATAGCACCCAGTTAACATTGCTTAAAAAAATATTTCAGGTTTTTCAATTTGATGGATGAATGTTTTCCGGCTAATCTTCTGCCCATTCTTGTTGATGTTTATGAATGACAGATTGTGGGACAAATCTATTAATTCTTTTTTTGTTATTTTCCCTCTATAGCTGTTTTCTGAACTAGATGTGAAGGTGGTGTTTAAGGAAGTTACATCCAAATTCCTACGGAGACGTATTGTGGAGGTATAGATGCTTATTTTCTGTTGAACAATGATGTACACGCACCATTTGGGATGAAAGAAATATTTCTTTTCTCATTAAGTTACTTGCTATCCTAAGTTGATGTGCTAACTAACTTTTCCCACTTTATTTTCCTACCTTACTGTTGCACGTGACTAGTTTTCATGTAATTTGTGAAGTTGAACGGTTATGGGCTCATAAAATATCAACTGGGCCAGTGCAAAGTATGGGTATTGTGTGGAAGGTCAAGTTTGATGTCTTAGTGTGGATATCTTTGTTCCAAATAAAAATATTACTAGATACGATTATAAGAAATTGAAGTGGAGAAGAAAACACTCTAGTCTTCATGGAACTCTCACAATCAGGGGTGGAGCCAGAAACTGGCTCAAGGGTGGGCACAAACCTGTGTTCTATATATGTTAATAAAATGGTGTAGATCACAAATCTAAATTCGACAAAAATCTAAGGTTTCCACAAAAAAAAAATCAAAGCCCAAGGTCAAAATAATTTATGAATGAAAAGGAAAAAAATCATTACCAAATAATATTACTCTTTACCAAATGGCTATACAAAGTTAACCGATAATTACACTTGATTTGTAAAAAAAACAAAGCAAATCAAAACCCTATTGGAGATGTCTAGATATAATCTCATAGAACTGTCTTTCTAGGATTGATTCCCCCGCCACCCCCCCCAAAGAAGGAAAAAAACTCCACCCCATATATATAGATATAGTAGCTAAAATATTTTGCAATTTGGAGTAGGTTTGTCTTGAACATTGATTTGTTTCGAGTTGCCTTGACTTTAAATTTTTTCTCCCAATTTACAAAGGTAAAGTGACACATTTATATTAATTATGTCATATTTTATAATAAAACCTCATTAAATCGAAAAGGGTCAAAAATTGACACGAATAATGTATATGAACAAAAAACAATAAAAAGAAAATTCATTACAATTCTTATCAGAATGTGAGGCTTATCATAACAAGTTTTCTTATTTTATATTTAAATCACGAAGCGATAAAAAAATTCAAGTAAGCGTAATAATACCATTGCAATCCAATGGAAACAAATCAATCATTAGTTATAAAAAAGTAGAGATCAATTGTGGGCAGGGGTGGAGCCAGAAACTTGATTAAGGGTGGGCACAACCTATATTCTATATATGTTAATAAAATGGTGTAGATCACAAACCTAAATTCAATAAAAATCTAGGCTAGGCACAAAAAAAAAAAACTAAGGTCAAAATAATTTCTAAATGAAAAGGAAAAAAGTCATTACCAAATAATACTATTTTTTACCAAATGGTTATATTAAAGTTAATTGGAAAGTACACTTAGTTGTAGATATAATCTCATAGAATTGTCTTTTGTGTTGGATCATTCTTCTGTTACTGTTTTCTTTTGGGGAAGTTTCAATACAAAGTAGACAGGTGTGATCAATGTTATTTTAGGCGTAAAGCGAATTGAAGCGACCAAGGCTCCTAACGCCTAGGCGAGAAGCGAGAAGCGAGAAGCGAGAGGCGAGAAGCGAAGCGAAACGCTTTACCGAAGCGAAGTGAACAGTTAAAAAAAAAAAATATTTTAGTTTAATTACTTCTAAACATTTAAATTCTAATTTTATATACACTAAATATTTAAATACAAGTAAACCAAAAACATTTAAATTAAAAAAAAACACTAATAATATTTCAAATTTTAATAACAGTCATAGCTTAAACAATTAAATTCAAACAAATACTAATAATATCCCACAATCAAGAGCATTAAAATCAAAAATCAGCTATTACAGCACTATTAGCAAAATCAGCTATTACAACACTATTAGCAAAATCAGCTATTCAGAATCAGCAGCATTACGACATTACAACACTATCAGCTATTCAGAATCAGCAACATGACAACATTACAGCACTATCCGCATTAGAGCAAAAAATAAGCAGCAGAAAAAAATCAGTAGCATTAAATTCAACATTTAGCATTACAGCACTATCAACAAAATCAACTATTCAGAATCAGTAGCATTAAAATCAAAAATCAGAATTAAAATTAGCAGCTATTCAAAAATCAACAGTATTAAAATCAGAATTTTTAGCTAAAAAAACAGAATCAAAACCAGAAAATCAGAATCATCAGAAAAAGAACCAGAAAAAAAAAAGAAGAAAGAAGAAGCAGTTTAAAGAAAACGAAGAAAAAGTAGAAAGAAGAAGGAAAAAAAAAATAGAAAGAAGCAGGAAAAAAAAGAGAAAGAAGCAAAAAAAAAAAAAACAGAATCAGAGGGTAAGAAGAGATACAGACGAGAGAAGAAAAAGAGAAGACAAACTTGGACCAGCGAGGAAGGAGAAGCAGCAACAGTCTTCGTCTCTGACTAGCGAGCAAGGAACAGCACAGCAGCAGCGGTCGCTTGAACAGAGAGGACGGAGCAGCAGCAGTGATAGCCTAATCAGAGAGGAAGAAGCAGCAACACCGATCGTGAGAGGAAGGAGTAGCACTGATAATGAGAGGAAAGAGCAGCAGCGATTGTCTGATGCTGAAAATTAGGGTTTTGAGTTTTATATTTATGGGGTAAGGGGGTAATTGAGTGTATTGACATCTTATAATTTTTTTTCAATTGCCCAAATCGAACGGTCTACAATAAAAATAAAACAAACCAACAATCCACAATAAAAATAAAAAATTACTTCGCTTCGCATGACTAAGGTGTTCGCTTTTTCGCCTTTCGCTTAAGCGAAAGACACTCGCTTTTCTCGTTTTTTTCTCGCTTTAGTCACGTTCAATTCACCTGAGATGTTCAAGGCGAGATACCTTCGCTTCGCCTAGGCGAGCATTTCAAGACACTTGGTGTGATTAGAATTTAAGAAGGGAGATTTGTGATCTCTAGAGGTTTTCTTCTGGTTTTGACGTGAGTTCTGTGAGTTTTTGGTGTTCGACTACGGTTTCGGCCCTAAATAGTGATCGGGGTTGCTCGAGGTTACTCCACTGTATTGTTGTTTTGCCTTATGTTGGCTAATAGATAGTGGGTTCTTGGTTGTGGTGGTTTAGCTTCGGCGCACTACTTTGCTAAGTCCGGTTCTATTATTTGTTACTCTTTGGTTGTGAATTCAATTTTTAAAAGCCTTTGGTTCAGAGTAGTTAGTGTGATTGTTGGCATTTGGTGGATTAGTGGGTTATTTGTAGTTTTTTTTTGTTTGGCATTGCATAATTACTTGTGGGTTTCTCAATGGCGATTTTAAATAGCAGTAATGGTGGTGTTCATGGTAGTAGTTGTGATTTGCTCCATAATACCAGTCGTGGTGGTTTATGTACAAGACGTAGTGAAAGTGGTGGTCGTTCTGGTAATAGTCATCGCTCTAAGTGGAAGTGTATTTATTGTGGTGACACGGGATATACACTGATAATTATTGTTGGGATCAGTATGGAAGATTAACATATGCTAATCAAGCTTCTAATGACATTTTAGGTTCCCTAGTACATCAAACTTCTACCAATGATCTAGTTGCATCTACTACTGATTCTTGTGATGATTTTTCTTCTTTGCTTCATCAGCTCATGTAGCAGTTATCTTTACTTTCTACAAATTCATTTGTTCCTATTATCGGTCTTGCTAATGGAGGCAACTTTGCATGTGTAGTTACTCGATCTTCTTTGTTATCTTAGACCATTGATTCAGGATCTAGTGCTCATGTGTTTGGTATTTCTTCTCTATTCTCCTAAGTTTTTTTTTCGTCTAACTCACGTATTGTGTTAGTTGATGGTTTCTTTCGATCGGTACATGGGACAGTCGATCTCTGCCCCACTCAGTCTATGCCATTAACCTCTTATTTGTTTGTTCCTAATTTTCTCTTTAAATTGTTATTGCTGAGTCATTAATTATGTCCATACAGTGTTCAAGAACGTTCTCTTCATCTTCTTGTGTTTTGCAAGATTTCAAGACGAAGACGGTGCCTTCAGTGCTACTGTGTCTCCTTTTCAGTGACACTTTCAATTGGGTTGCCCTTTTTTGCAAAAGTTGTGTCAAGTTATCACTGGTTGGAGTTCTTCTTCTATGTTAGAATGTGAGGTCTCTCAATTAGGCAAACATCACAGCAGTTCTTTTTCTCCTTGTTTTTCAAGTTGTTAGTCTAGTTATTTCTTGATGTTCATACGGACATTTGGCCTCCCCTAAGAGTCAAAAGTATTTGAGGGTGGACACAATAAATTATATCCAAAAAAAATAGCTAAATTTATATATATAATTAAGAAAAAAAATTTATAGTGCGCCAATGCCCCTTGACCCCCACATAGATCTGCCCTTTGATTTTAGGTCAATTGAAAGCCATTTCACCTTCAAATTTTGAATTTAGAACAAAAAGAATATAGAAATTTGTAGATCAGGACAAATTTTAATGGTGGACACAATAAACTATATCTAAAAAAATACTCAAAATTAATATATATAAAATTAAGAAATTTTTTTTGAGAATGGGCCAGTGCCCCTTGGCTGGCTGGCCCCCACATAGATTCACCATGCTCACAATAAATGTCAAAATGTTGGATTGAGCAACTTTAAACAAAAATTTGGGGTCATTTATCTCAACTTATTGGATGTAGCTTAGTTTTTTTGGAGCTCTAGTATATAACCCATGTAAATTAGTTTTATGATTGTACCTTAGTTGTCCAAATTGAAATACCTTAGTTGTCCAAATTGAAATACCTTAGTTGTCCAAATTGAAATATCTCAGCTACCTTTCCCAAAAAAAGGGAAGAAAGTGAGAAAATGCCTCTATACGGATATGACAATATATGAGCAAAATTAAGTACAACCCGTTTATCATTCGCATAAGTTCTCATTTTTCATAAGGAATTAGAGCTGAAATATTAAGAGGATAAAATAGAGAAGGCTAATGCAACCAATAATCAAAATATCGTTTTGAAATGATCAAAATGTCCGAAACGTTTTCGTTCTTAAGGAGACCGAAATGAATCAGTGATAGAATCAAAATTCTGATATTTTGAGGTATTCCATAATGTTTCTAGATGATTTATAATATTTTAATACATTTACACTATTGTTTTGGAATATTTCAAGGTATTTCAAGATACTTTGATATATTTCCATCAATGTTTTAGAAAAATAATTATTAATTTTTTTATTTTTTTCATTATATTTTCGAAACGGGTCGAAATATTTTCGAAACACGTCGAAACGTTTTCGTTTCTTAGGTGACCGAAACAATACACTGAAACTATATTTTGATCCTTGAATGCAACATGAAAAGAATAATTGTATTAGTGGCAGAGCCAGATATCCATTTTAGTGAGAGCAAAACTATGAGCAAAAAACTTAACCAAATGGTATAAAAAAATCTTTTTGGATTTCCATTAATGAGGATTGTATTGAGGGGTATTTTCAAATTAAGAATTCTAAAAGCTACAATATAAGAAAAATATTTAGACCCAACACTTAGCTACTATGTGAAAATAAAAGAAAGAACAAAATCAATCCGGCATCAACAAAATATGAACATACAAAGACATTAACTTAGCATAGTATATTTTAACATCATCATATATGAAAGTGCCACACAATGTCATTGTTACAAATCTCAAGAATCATTAATAATTGAACAATTTTATGATGAAATTTCTCATCAATTTTCTTTCAATCTATTTGAGAAATTAATTTTTTTTTGGAAAGGTATAAATGCTTTTGGGTTAGCATATTTTACCATTTGCATTTATTCGTGTTACTACGTCATGAGCCATTTAAAAACGAATTAGATACAACTATATAATTAATACTTAAAAAATAAAATAGTGAATTAAATAATTGTGGTAGCCGAGGGTATTTTACATCTGTCTTACTTAGTTAAAATATGTCTTCGTAGATTACGAAAAACCTTATAATAGAACTATACAACAATAAGAAAGTGACATGATTGGAAAGTAATATCGTATCATAGAAAAACAAAACAATAGGGAAGTAGCATTCTAATGCACTCTCTCAAGTTGAAGCTTATAGACTAAAAATGCCTAGCTTGGAGTAAAGACTCCTAAAGGTGAATCGTGCCAATGGCTTAGTGAGAAAATCATTGAGTTGACCGCAATATCCCCACGTAACATGGTTAAAGATCGTGGTATCGGCCATCAACTCGGAAAGCTCTGAGACACATCGGTTGTGGTATCGCGGCGCGGTATCGGGTGATATGATTTAGAAGAAAATGTTGAACATGATAAGAAATTCAAGACATAGCACGATGTCGTGGAACCATATTGGTCAATTTGGTGACGATATTTTGGAGACTTGGGATTGACTCAGATATAATTTGGACGACTTGACATAGTTGTGCAAGACTCGGAGTTTATTCATGTCATGTAACTGTATCGTCTTCGAAGGTGCTGAGATGGATACGACTTGGCTGACTCGTATCAGTATCGACCGATACTTTGAACCATGCCATGTAAACAGTAAGGTTGATAAAACCAAAATCTAAGTGATTGCTTCATACAATTCAAGGACTTCGTTAATTAACACAAGCTACCACGATCCTCCACCAGGGTAACAAAACTGAGTCATGGTTCTAGGTGAAGTTTAAGATATCACTTTAGTTTTATGGAGAAGCAATTAACGACCACACCAAACTAAACAATTGCAAACGACGATCATGACAACATAGATGACGACAAAGGACAAACACATCAACAGTACCACCACCAATAATGTCGACACAAACAAATATAGGTAACAACACCACAAAGAACCATAGACAACAACAAATTAAATTGAAATAATGGAAAATTTGGTAAACCAAGTAGAATCGGCCAAAAAAAGGGTGAACCAGTGTTGAAGACCACAAAGCCAATATTGAATCGATCGAGATGAAAACTACAAAACTAGCACTAAACCATGCTAAAACACCGAGTTAGAGTTGAACCAGGATGAAAACCACTAAAGTGTACCAAATTGTGTTGAAAACCGCAGATTAGATGCTAAATCAGGTTGAAAACACTAAACCGAAATTAAATCGAGATGAAACCAGCTTAATCAACATCAAACTAGACTGAAAACCAAAAAATTGACACTAAACTGGATTGAAAACACTACATCAGAATTGAACTAGGATGAAAACCACTAAACTAACACTAAATTTGGTTGAATATCATTGACTTGACGTTAAACCGGATTGAAAATACTAAAATCAGCACCAATGATCAAACACCAGAGACAAACATGTATTTAGCACCTCATAACACTTGATAATGGTCACAATAGCTGATGAGCAACTGATTAATATACCCACAACAATCGATGAGCAACTGATTAAGATACCAACGACATGGAAACAACAATTTAGAGTGATTCTAGGTTTGACAATAACAGGCAAACACACAGAGGACTTCAACTTATTTTGTGCTAGGCTGGTCCAACCACTAGGCGAGTGAGGCACTCGCCTCGGACCAGACCCACTCACAAAAGTATCTTGCTCTGATACCAAGTTGAAACTTGAATAATTGTATGTTAGGGCTTAGGACAAGAAAGAAAAAAAACAAAGAGAAAAACAGTGTGAGACAATATTGTGTAGCATGTGTTGCCAACACCCTGTCACATTTTTATAATAGATTGCTATTGAAGACAAGCACAATAATAGGTAAGTGAAACATAATAGAAAACTATATAATAGGAAAAAAAAAGAAAGAAAGTAGTATTCTAACAGAGACAAAACAATGCATTAAACATAAATCGGGTGATTATAGGTTGGGCCAATTGACTATCTTTGGACCTAGACGACCATCTTTTGCAAAATAAGTAGGACTTCACTAATTAGACTTAGGCTTTTGGTAATTATATTCCTCACACATTATATGAATTGATCAAATAGGCCAATATGGGTGAAATGAGAAAATGACTAAAATTCCCTTAGGGTGAGTTAATTAAGGAAAGAAGCGTAAAGGACTTAACTCCGAGCTGAAGAAAAAACATCGAATTTGAAAGAAAAAGGTGAGTAGTCCTATCCCCCCGGGGGGATTGCTGACACATGTTTGCTCTTTCAAACCTAATGAGTACTATTTTAGTTGTATGTATCAATTAAAATAGTTTTGTTACAAGTTGTAACGAGTGTGTCATATAATGGGTTGTTAGTAAATTGTAATTGTATTCTTTCCTTAGATAAATAGGTAGGTAATGCATGGAAGACTCTAGGGTTTTGGTACAAAATGAGGAAATTAAAGTAAAGTGGAAGAATTGTTTTGAAAAGTTACTAATATGATTTTGCTTTTCACAGGGAGGAAAAAGAAGTGATGGCAGGGCTTCACATGATATACGACTAATTAACTCACGATGTGGACTACTTCCTAGAGCACATGGAAGTACTCTTTTCACACGTGGAGAAACACAGGTTGGTTGAAGTGAAGTTTTAGTGTCAAGAACATTTAGCCAGTATGCTTGTGTTTCTAAAGATCACATTTATAATGTTCTTCATCAAGTACTGATTCCAACATATATTTACTCTCCTGTGAGCAATATTGTTCGCATGTAATGTGTCTCTGATATAATTGTTGATGTTACAAGATCAGAGTGATTGCTTTAATATTTTGTATCAGACTACTATCTATTTAGGCATTCTTCTCCTGCAAATTAGTTACTCTTATTGCTTTTAATACATTTAAGATGTCCATGCATGCACTTTAATGGCCTGTTCAACCAAAACATGAGTGTTTGAAAATTGAAATTCCCATGTTCCAAAATATATATCATTTGCAGGATGTTTTCTTCAAATGTTTCAGAATCAAGACTCCAATTTTTTCCTCTTTTTTCTGTTCTCAACTGGGTTCAAAATGTTTCCTTTTTTGTTTTTGTTAATCGAGACTATTCTTCGAAATTAAAATTTTTCCCTTGTTTATAGTATTGCGCTTAACCTGTTTTCCCACCAATCCACCCCAGCATCTTGATATTGGTATATGATCCTATCTCAATGTTTTGCATTATGAAATGTATTATTTTTTATTCATTTCATAAACTTTCAAGCAGCGTTGAGTATATGTTTGTCTGTATATATATATATCTTCGGTACTTTAGCATCTCATTGCATGTGATTGGCATATAAAGCAATCATGATCTTTTGGGGAGTGCATTTCTCAATTTCTTCAATTACCAAATGTTGAAGTATAAATACTTAAGTTATACCCTCTCCAAAAGTTTAAGTTGATTAAGCTTTTGGAGTAGATGGTTGTTTACATTGATATCAGAGCACGAGGTCCTATGTTCGAATCTTGCTGCAACCCTAATTATTAAAAGATTTCCACGTGCTTGCCCAAAATCTTGTTTGCAGGTGAGGGGCTATGTTTAAGTGTAAAAACTTAAGTTACACTCTCTCCAACAACTTAAAATTTTGGAGTAGATGGTTGTTTAACACCAAATATTCAGATGTTTCCCTGTGCAAGTTAAATATGAAGCTTTGCTTACATCTTAATTATGGAATTTTTTATAAGTGATTTGTTACTTGTTACTAATGCAATGAAGTACGGCATTACACTATTTAACTATAGACAAGGCTTTCATGTTGTTGAATGGTGAAAAGGATCATGTAGCAAACCCCATGTATTTATATTTCAGACTTTTTAACCTAGATTTATACTTCAACAATTCAATTTGGTTTGCAAGATGATGTGGTTTTTTTTCCTTTTCTTTTAAAAACTTTGATTTTCTTAGTTTTGCTTTTATTTTGGTTTCACAGTCATTAGCAGTAGTTACACTTGGTGATAAACAAATGGCACAGAGAATAGACAATCTTGTAGATGAGGATGATGTGAAGAGATTCTATCTTCAGGTGTGTGTATCTAACTTTCATTTTTGGCTTATAATGGCGAAACTTGTCCTTTTGTCTCTGCCAAAGAGGGACCTGAATTTGTGTGCCAGCATGCTTTTCAAAAACTGGATTACCTTTATTTTTCTTGTTGTGTCATATCGTTTCTGTTCTTCTGGACTCCTTGTTTAATTCCATTAGATATCTGTCTCTCAAAGTGGCTGCCATGGAATGTAACTTGCATTTGAATCAATTGTGCAGTAACGATATTATCTTTAGTGAATGTCTGGCCCCTATTTCTGACTTTCTCTAATCATATATCACTTCTTCATTAGCTTTTCACTGCAAATAACAGCAGTCTATGCTACCCAGAATTTTTTTGTCAATATGTTACCTAGAGTTGCATAGCTGGATTTTTTGGAAAAAATAAGTTGAGACAAAAGATTATGCAAATGCATTTTTCTCTTGTGAGACAAAATTGTGGACGGAAGAAGAAAGGTGATAGAAGATTTTCAAGCAATTTTTCAGCAGCCTTATGGGGGAAAAAAGAGCGCTATAAAAGACAAGATAGGACAGATATGGATGTAATTTCTGCATATTATTTGAAACTTCTTTAGTTGTCTGCCATCTCCCACACTATCGGTAAATATTGCTGCCTCCATGAATTCTCAGTTACATGTATTTTTTATTCGGAATTTAACTCTCAATGCCTATGTGGAATTCCTCTGCTTCGTTCATATTCTTATATTTTAGACTGCAGATTGTGATTTAGCTAAGCAATTTCAATAAAGCCATGAAAATACTGTTGCACAAACGTCTAAGCCTCCATAGCAAAGCATTATTTGGGGTTTTAAATTTCTAAGTACATAGAACTCAATGAATTAAGGTGCTAGTTCGATATTTGCATATGTTCCCGCATAACATCAAGGTCAGAGCATGATATGGGATGATACGAGAGAGAGTGCTAGCTCTGACCTATGGCATGGCCAACCCCATCTATATGGTTTCAAAATAATATCTAATGCTTTGATTGAACTTGATATCATAATCTGTTACAGTACGGGATCACAGAATGCCACCATGCAAGAAAACGTAATTGGAAGATGTTAAAGTTGTGACAAGGACTCTCATTTTGTTGGTGTTAGAGGTTCGCAAATGTGGCTTATAGCGAGCCTCAAGGTGCATGGTATGTGCCATAAGCAATGCTCATAACTTAGTGAACATGCTTGGTAGAATTGGAACCTCTAGGTTAGACCTTTGAGGCATTTCTATAGGCTTAATTGCCCACTTACCTTATAGATATTTTCTGCCATTGTAAGCTGTAAAATTAGAAACATGTGAAGAAGAATGGAGGAAAGGTGAATGAAAAAGAAAAGAGAACAAAAACTGGAAAACAAAGGGAAAAAAACAGATGTGAAAAATGTGCAAAAGTTATATGGTGTTATGTAATAACTCTGTTACAGGTATGATAGCGACTGATCTAAATATGATGCAGAATTAAATAGTAATAAGGCAATCACTCGAGACAGATTTGTTTTTAGAAAGTAGACATAAAGATACTTACATAGAAATCCTTGCAAGAAAATCCACAACCTCATCCAGCCACACACACACACACACACACACTATATGGAAACATGTAGAGAAGGACTTGACTTCATTTACAATCTTGATTACTCTAGTTAAGCAGTAGCCCTCACACAACCTTGATACTTCACAGCCAGCAGCTGGTTCCTGAAGCACATGCCGCTAGTCAACACCTTCAACTTTTGTCCTGATATACCACTGGTAGGTCTTCAGCTCATTTCTACAATGATAATCCTGACAACATCTCATTCACTCAGTTTTCACAAATGTTGTAATGGGTATGGGTGGTATCACTTTCTCAATGATATATCATCCAATACTTGGGCAATTTTCTTAAACTTCTCCTGTTGTTCTCAAAATGATGAACTTTCTAGCCTCCACAAACTCTAGTTTTGACCCTTGACTCTGCAAGGTGCCAAGAGAGTATACATAGTTTGTGACACATCTTTGTTTGGGTCTCGAAACAAGTTAGAAATGTTTCCTCATCAAATATCCACATTTTAGAGGATCTCTAGCCCATTTAAAATACTTCATAACATCCCGGTACAGTCTAGGTCAATCTAAATGGATAACTACATTTCTCCATTGTTTTGAGACCTAAGAAGCACATAAACGAATACGGGACACATATGCGTACAACATGGACATGCGGACATGATATTTTTCTAAAAAATAGAACACGGACACACTCGGGATACGCCAAATAAAATATATTTTTATATTTTATGTAACAAATATTTTATTTTTTATACAACCAAAGATCACAAATTTGGTCTAAGTAGATAGAAATTTTATTTTTTTTAATAAAACCTTACTAATACGAGGATAATTTATTTAGCAACTATAGGATATTAGGTTATTTCAATTAAGGGAATTATCGTAGTCATTCCTTTTTTATGAGTTTAAGTAGGGGTAATTAGAGGAGAGATTGATTATTTTCATTCTCCTTAACCCTATTTCCTAGTCTTCTCCTTTTCTTCTTCTTTCTCTTGTCTCCTCTTCGCTCTAAACCCTAAATCTTAATTTCAACATGGTATTAGAGAAATTTATCTAAACTTTGAAAGCCACTAGAGCATTCAAGAAGGCTAAGAGGATCTGTTGGATTGTTGATGTCATTGCCGGAGTGATGGCGTCATAGTTAGAATGATGTCATCGACGAAGTTATGGTATGACTTGGTTTTTCCTTCTGGGTACGATTGTAATTTTTTTGGATTTTTTTTTTTTGAAGCCATTTGGGGTTTGTTTCTTGTTTTTGAATGATTTTCTAATTTTTTTTGGTTAAATCTTATGGTATGCGATTTGTATGAGTTTGGGACTGCAATATCTACTCTAAAGTAATCTGTGAGTGTTTATGTGGACTCCTGGGAACTCGGGGATAAATTTTTTTGTTTAAAGCCCAGTTGTTTTTAGATAATTTTTGATGCTTTCTTGGTTTCAATAGTCACCGGTTGTGTCTAACAGCAGTGGTAGACTTCTTCCCACTATGTTTCGAGGATATGGATGAGGTTTTTCTTGTGTCCAGTACTTGTTTGTGAACTCTGTTGGCCAGAGAGGATTCCAGTGGTAGTTTGGGACCTCGACAAGTCTGTTCGGCACTGCTTGGGTTGTGGATTTTGGTGACCCACATGTGGCTTTCTTTATGTTGGGCAGTTCCCTAATGTTTTGATGTATGCTTGATATTCATTAGGGGATCCTCTTTGGTGATGGGAAGTAGCTAGTTTGTCCCTTAAGTTTGGTCTCCTCTTTAATTGCTAGTTATGACCTAAGTGAAGATTCTTTTGAAGTGTAGTTTACTTTTTTTTGTGTTTGAGTTAGCCTTAAATTTTCTAAGAAGTCATGTCTGAAGTTAGTGAAGAAACAACAAGCAGTGAAAAGGGTGTAGTGAGTCGCGGGGATACTCTTGGATGCAACATCGCTCTACAGATTAGTCTGATAAAATTGGATGGAGGGAACTACCTGGCGTGGTCTTGATCATGCTTATTATTAGTGCGGGCAAGTGGGTTAAATGGATACGTGACAGGAGAAAGTGGGAGACCCAAATTTGAACCTAAAGTTAGCCGGGGGATCTTTGAGAATTCATTAGTGATGACATAATTACTCAACTCAATGCAACCTAATATTAGCTGGGGTTTTCTATTTTTTGGGACAACTTGTGAGATTTGGTTAGCAGTGGCTTAGATATATTTATAGGTTGGGAATGATGTTCATATTTATAAGTTGTGCAAGAAGATTCATGAAACCAAGCAAAGGATATGACTCCCGTAAAGTACTATGTAAGATTGAGAAGTCTGGGACAGGAGTTGGATTATTATCGGGATTTTCATGCAGAATGTGCTAGAGATATCGCTAAGTTTTAGAAGTTGATATAAAAAGAATGAGTATATAACTTTCTTGCACTTCCTAATATGAAGTATGATCATATTTGTATACAGGCTTTGGGTAGAGATCTTTTTCACTCCTAAAGGCAAGCTTATTCTTATTTGCAACAAGAGGAGAGTAGGAGGAATGCCATGCTTCATACTCTTGCTCATGATAGGTCTTATCCTAGTAGCTGCTAGTTGTACTACAAAGAGAGAACAAATTCTCTCAACCTCATAGTGATGGTAAGTGTTAAGTTTAGAGATATAACATAACACAATATTAGAGAGAAAAAGAGAGGTTAAAAACTTAACCTAGCTCTCATACATCATTTGTATTTATAGTTAACCTATAATAATAAGAATTACACATATACCCTCTTACTATTAACAATTTATACATACTACCCTATTATTCTTAACACTCCCCCTCAAGCTGGACTATATTTATCATATAATCCAAGCTTGGAACAAATAGCTGTAAGACGTGTACGACTTAATGCTTTGGTAAACATATTTGCAAGCTGATCTTCAGATTTTACAAATGGAGTTGTAATCTCCCCAGCTACTATCTTATTTCGAATAAAGTGACAATCAACCTCAATATGCTTGGTTCTCTTGTGAAACACATGATTGACAGCGATATGGATAACTGCCTAGTTGTCACAGAACAACTGTAAAGAAAGTTGAACTAGAAATTCAATTTTCTGGAGAAAGTGTAATAGCCAAGTCAACTCACTCGTCGTATGTGCCATTGTCCTATACTCAGCCTCGGCATTGGATCTTGTTACCATGGGTTGTTTCTTACTTTTCTAGGAAACATTACCTCCTAAGAAAGTGCAATAACCAGTGGTTGATCTTCAATCAGAAGGAGAGCCAGCCTAATCAGCATCTGAGAAACCTTCCACTCTAAGATGTCCATTAGCTTGATATAATAGTCTAAGTCTAGGAGCTCGTTTGAGATATCGCAGAATACGAGTAACTGTCTCCCAATGTGGTACTCTAGGACATCCCATGAACTGACTTACTATACTGACTGCATAGGAAATATCCGATCGAATAATAGTGAGATAATTAAGCTTCCAAGCAATCTACGATATCGATTCGGATTCTCAAACAATGCACCATCATCCATCAATAATTTCTAATTTGGATCCATAGGAACATCAATCGGTCTATCACCCAGCAAACCTGCCTCCTCAAGCATGTCAAGTACATATTTCCTCTAGAATAAACAAATACCTTGTTTAGATCGAGCTACGTTAATACCCAAGAAATACCTAAGTTTTTCCAAATCCTTAGTATGAAATCGATCTTGTAAGAATATTTTTAACTTGGCAATCCCCTTAGAATCATTTTCAGTAATCAGAATATCATCTATATAGACCACCAATAGGACATATTCAGCATTTGTCTGTCTATGAAACACAGAATGATTAGTCTGACATCAAAGAGGACCACACTCTAAAACTGTATCTGAAAATTTACCAAACCATGTCCTCGGTGACTGCTTCAAACCATACAAAGATTTCTTTAATCGACATACACTCTTACCATACTCCCCTTGAGCAGTAAGCCCAGGTGGCTGCTCTATGTATACCTCTTCAACCAAGTCATCATGTAGGAAGACATTCTTGACGTCTAACTAAAACAAGGGCCAATCAAGATTAGCAGCTAAAGAAATCAAGATACGAACAAAGAAAATTTTGGCAACAGGAGAAAAAGTCTCCTCATAATCAACACTATAAGTTTGAGTGAAGCCCTTTGCAACAAGTCGGGCTTTGAAACGCTCTATAGAATTATTTGGATGAAATTTAACAGTATACACCTAACGACAGTCAACAGTTCGTTTACCGGGGGTAAAGGAACGAGATTCCAAGTCCCATTATTATGTAAAGCATCCATCTCCTCCACCATATTTTTCCTCCAACCTGGATCAGATAATGTATCCTGTAAATACTTAGGAATAGATATAGCAGATAATTGGGAAGTAAAACAAGATAAGATAGGAGACAAGGCATCATATGAAATAAAATGAGAAATAGGATGATTAGTAACGCACGAACGAGTACCTTTGCGAAGAACAATAGGTAAAAAGTCTAAATTACCTGATGTACCAGCATCAGAAGGCAGAAAGCAAGACGGTACGGGCACCTCAATCGATGGATAAGAACGACGAGAGTAGACACGGAGAGGTAAAGTAGATGGGAACATAGTGGGTAGCAGAATATCTGAAGATGGTGGTACAGGAGATGATTCAAAGTTCAGATCCAAAGGCTGAGAAGGTGCTGGAAAGTATGGAACAGATTCTTCAAACGTGACATCGGCACTAGTAAAGTATCGGTGCAGAGAAGGACTGTAGCAACGATATCCCTTTTGCGTGCGGGAGTAACCAAGAAATACACATTTGGTAACTCGAGGATCAAGTTTGTCAAACCCAGGACCCAAATTGTAAACATAACAGACACATCCAAAAATCTTAGGAGTCAGGGTAAATAAGGTCTTACCAGGAAAAAGGACAGAATATTGACTTTG